CATACAACCATTGTATAGTAATATGATGCGATAACTTTAAAAAACCATCTCATGGCTATTTGTTTGATCCAAATTTTGAAATATACATTCTTTTCATTTTAATGAACAATCAAAAAAAAAAAGAAGAAAAAACTGAAAACAGAATTTATTTTGATCCAAATTTTAAAATATTCATTTTTTTTATTCTAATGAATAATCACAAAAAAGGAAAAAATTGAAAACACAATTTAAAAAGTATTTTTTTGGTTTAATTAATTGAGATGTTTGAACTTAGGCTTTAAAAGGAATTTTTCATTTTTAATTTTTTTGAATGGTTCTATTATCATTAGATGAACAATATTAAAAAAAAAAGAAAAAATGATTTTGAGTTTACAATGGTTAAAATCTTGAAATTAACAAAATGGATAGATTAGATTCGGAGGGGATTCATTTTGACCATATCTAGATTCAAATTGTACTTTTTTTTTGGGGGGGATTGATTATTAATGTTTTTTTTGGGAGGATGGGGGGAATTGATTATTGAGATGAAAAAAGTGTATGTGTAAAATTTGAGGTCATACCACAAACATGGTTTTCTATAGGTGTCATTGCATTATACTATAATACTTCGTTGCATTGGATCATTGCTCATAAGAAAGGGGTTGCATTCTATAAAAACTTCATTCTATATAGGAAAGGGGTTGCATTCTATAAAAACTTGCATTCTATATAGTAAAGGGGTTGCATTATGTAAAAACTTGCATTCTATATAGGAAAGGGGTTGGGGTTGTGGTGGTCGCATCCTCCAATTTAACACCTTCAAACATTTCCTACCGTTAGACACTCAATTTAACTCTTTCAAATTTTTCCTACCATTGGCCCTTCCAATTTAACACCTTCAAAATGTAACTCCCTAATCTATTGAAAAATGGGTAGGTACCTATTTTCCTCATTGAATTACCAAAAAAAAACTTATATTCTCTATATATTTTTTTTTGAGTCTAGCTATTTTTAAAACCTTTAGATTCTATAGCATCTTTTAAAAGTTCTAATTTTGTGTTGATGCTATTTTGGGTCTTATTGATTAAAACTTTGTAGTCTGCAAACAACATATACCACGTAACCTCATTTTGTAGGTACCTAGTTAAATCGTCTATAATTAAGACAAATAGGTATGGGCTCAATGTTAATCTTAATGTAGATCTATTGTCTTTAAAAATTCATTTGTTTCTCCTCTAATTGTTCACACAATAGTTAGTGTTCTCTTGTACATATATCTCACCAGGTTGATAGTATCGGGAGATTCATTTTTTTTCCAATACCCGCCAAATTTAATGTTAAAGTATTTTATCATACAACAATGATCCAATGCAACAGTTGTATCATAGTATAATGCAACGACACTTCTAGAATATTATGTTTGTGGTATTTATATGATTTCAAATTTTGCACACACTCTCTTCATCTTAATAATCAATTCTTCTTAAAAAAAATAAGTTCAATTTGGACTCTAGATATGGTCAAAATGAGTCAATTCCAAAAACGAATCTAGACCATTCATTTTATGAATTTCAAGATCTTAGCTTTTATAAACTCAAAATCATTTTTTTCTTTTTCAACATTGTTCATCTAATGATAATGAAGCCATTCAAAATAATTGGAAATGAAAAAAATCTTTCTAAGGCCTAGATCTAAGCATTTCATCAAAATGAACAGTTTATGTTAATTGGGCTAAAAAAATACTGTCTATGTTGTGTTTTCAAATTTTTTTTTTTTTATTGTTCATTAGAATGAAAAAGAGTGTATTTCAAAATTTGGATCAAGCAAATGGCTATAAGAAGTTTTTTTAAGGTTGTTGCATCATGTTACTATACAACATGAAATCATTGCATTTGCCCTTTTATCATAAGCTTTCTCTAAATCAATAAAAATCATGTAGAGGTTTTTTTTTTTCTTAAACTTCTTAATCAGTTGCTTAAGTAGGAAAATAGTTTTAGTTGTTGCCTCTTTGACATAAAACGAAATTAGTTTATGATGTACTTGTATCATGTCTTAGTCATTGTATTATAATAAAAATGTATTATAATAAATAATATAATTAAAAGCATTTAAAAAAAAAGTTAAAAAAATCCATGAAAATATTATGCATCTAGTTACCACTCAACAAAAATCTATTTTGTAATAAGTACTTTTATCAAAAGATATATTTCAAAGAAAATACATGTTTCTAAGACTTTTTCCATTGATCCAACAGCCCTTATTAGTTGATTGGAGTGTCCACGACGGTCTATGTGCCTTGGGGAAATATTTTACAAGGGTGAGACCTTATACAATTAAATTAAGGCGCACTTCAAAAGTTCCCTTGAAGAGGTTACTTCGATGCTAAAAAATCTTCAAATTTCGATGTTAAAAAATCCTCAAATTGATATATAAATGTGAAAAAGGATGAATTTCAACTATTGAAATAGTGTATCTTATATTACATTTTCTAGACCGTCAATTTTCAACATTTTTAAGTGTTCATTGATTTGCTCGAGCTACACTGTTTCTATAAATTTTGGAATTAGGGATAAAAATAAAATTTAGATCGACCATCACAAAATTTTTTAGATATTAAACAACATTGTTCGATATTATTTGAATTTTTAGATATTAAACAACATCGTCTCGACTTTATACAAACCACACCTTCTTCTTCTCTCTCTCTTTTTTTTTTTTGGGGTGTAAAATGGTCTATGTGGTCTTTCTTAAAGGAAAGTTCAAAACAGCCCTGGGCTCACAATTCCATCTTTACTTAGGCCTTATTTTAATGGAAAAAGTTTATGTAAGGTTGCAAACTTAAAATGTAAAATTAGAGATGCACTTCAAAAATTCATTGGAAAAGGTTGTGTTAATGTTGAAAACCGTCTAATTGAACATCTGAATAATGAGATGAATGAATATGAAAAAAGAAATAGATCTTGAGTTTCAAAAAATAGTGCATCTTGCAACAAACACATTATCTAGACCGTTCATTTTCAAGATTTTCATATCTTTATAGATCTATTTGATTTTAACTAATTTTGAAGTTTAAGATCTTATAATTAAATATCAAAATAGATTTTCAAATAATCTGAAGAATTTTTTAAACCAAAATCACATGATAAATGCCTTAAGTGGATTGTTTAAGGTTGCAACCGTATAGAAACACACCCTTGTTTAATTGGTACTGATCAATGACATAATAACTGAGGCCTTTGTTTACTTGGTACTGATCAGTAACGGCAATAGACCCGACTTCATTCGTATGCTACATTCTGCATTTTTTCTCTCCTTCTAGTCTAGCCTGGTAAGAGGGAGAGATTAGAGGGGAAAAAGAGAGTAGGTGGTAGAAAGAGTAGAGAGAGAATGCTGGGCAGGAATAGGTTCCTCTCGCTGCCCACGGTGTTCGTTGCAGCTGTGTGAGTTTCCGCCGCTTCTAAAACCCTAATTTCTCTCTTCATCTCTATATTTCTTAATACCTAATGGTGGAATGATTTTTTAATGAATTTAATCACCAGTATTTGATAATTTGGGTACAGTCTTATATTTTCATAGATTACCATTATTGTAGTTCCCTGTAAATCTGACGAGTGCTTATATTGATAGATGATATCTTCCTACAATTTTTCATTTCCTGAATTTGTTTGACATCGTGAATCTGACGAATGCCTATATTTGTTTCTGGAAAGGATTGCTATGTATTCTTGAGCACAATTTACGACTTTTGATTCTCTCTCTGTATTTCCGTATTAGAGTTTTCTTTTTAGGAAATTGAGTATATTTGTCATTACGAAATGTCAAATTTGAGGAAACATAAACAGACAGACAGGATGTTATGGGAGAACAGATCAATTCTGAGTAATAACTTGATAAGTTTGCAATGACATAGAACTAGGATAGTTATTGCATAGAAGTAGGCAGGAAGTGATACATTAATTAATGGGAAGCCCATTATAATAGTACATATTTCACACTAACAAACAACTTTCGACTGAGCCATGGGTTTGAAATCTCAAATTGATGAGTGGCAATACAGAAACAACATCCTCCATTGCTGCTCTTCATCAAATTCTTTTGACTTTGATAACTGTTGTACTAGAATTCTGGATATGTAAGATAAAATGGCTTATGGCGATTTGATATGCTTTGGTGGTTTGGTTTGGTGAGTTTTGTTGTTTTCCTTGGATACATTCAGCCATTTGATTGAAATTCGGATCTCCAACTTAATTAGAATCGAATATAAAATCAGAAAATATACTAAAATTTCTTAGGCCGGCGACTTTTGACCTTTGCCGACGACCCATTGGAGGCTGCATATTTATGTCTTTTTTGCTTGATATAGATCATTGTTTTTTGACAGTACTGCATATTTATGTCTTTTTGTTTGATACAGATTATTGTTTTTGGACAGTACCCTTGGACTTGGGAGGGTAACTCAGCCACGCCCGCTAGGTGATTGGGGCTAGTTGGGTGCCCCACTCTCCAAGCCTCAGCAACCTGCAAAAGAAAAAAAATACAAACAATTGTTAAAAATTACAAAAAGTAAAAAATAAAAAATAAAAAACACCAATATGTTAATTAGTAATGTCTTTTGATGATTCTCATAGCTTTTAAGATGATTTGAGAAGTTTTATATTTTTTCCTTTTTTTTTCAATTTTTTTGAAATATTCAAGGTATAAATCATATCTTTCAGTAATCCATCATTTTTAACTTCTTTTCTTTTTCTTTTTCTTTATTTTTTTACAATTTTTTTGGTTTTTTAGAATTTTTAAACAAATTTTTTGGATGGTACATGACTAGGCCGAGTTACTTGTTCCAGCCAAGGGTCAAGTACCTTGGACGAGGTGGTTTAAAAAACATTGATACAAATGATGATACTTATTGTCTAGCACAACGAAGTCGTGTGAACTTGCAGCTCAAGAATTTATAAGTGGAAAATTTTTGCATTCAATATGTTTGGTTAAGTGTGGGATCTGAATTTTTTTCTTATTTTAATATACATTATACATTGTAATTTATACTTAAATATTCTATGATGACAGATGACCCAACTATGTTTGTTGTATTGTATGATACATTAAATCAAAGTGCAACCTGTCAGAAATATGCATTTGGTTGGTTAGGCCATTAGGGGAACCATCAACCCAATATGTGAATTAAGATTGCTTAAGTTTTTTGCATTTGATTTTTCTTGAAACTATCCAGAGTCATTACTCAACCATTTTGGAGGCTACAATGAATGGATACTTTAATATGCATAAACATGAGCGTTTTGCACTGTGTCAACAATGATATTGAAATGGGATACTGCTAGGATACTTGTCAATATAAATGCAAGGTGGATAAAATGTAGTAGTATGCACTATGATAGGTTAGAAATGTGGTAACATGTAAGATGCTAGTGGTCGGGGCCTAGGTCGGACCGGTTCACACTTGACCCCCTCTCGAACAACCGCGTGGCCTTACGAGGGTCGCTCGCGCATCTCGTGGTGTCACTTTGTGCGGATAGATGTGTCCAACTTTTGAGAGGATTTTTAAGAATGGCGAAGAGATGAACTAGAGCACCTACCTCACCGCAGTTGGGTTCGTGGGAAAAGCCAGGGCAGAAACGCCCTCTTAAATCAATTCACAAAAGCCCTCCTGTTGTCTAGCAGCGCGGTTTGGGCGCAAACCCCTCTCAAACGTCAACACTTCATTTGGGTTCTTTCTTAGAAAACTGCTGTTGTAAATTCAAATAAAAATGCTCTTCTTTAGCGGGTTTTGTGAATGAGTGGCTCTGGTATGGTCTAGAAATGGGAGAGAAGAAAGCCTTCTCGCGACTCAGACACTATATGATCGGATGGTTAGTTGAGATAGCAAGAGAGTCAGAATTATGAAGAAGACTAACTCAGGACGACTACAACTCGAGTGATTGGGTGCTAGAGAAGCAATGTCTTTTACAACCTCGATTCACTGTGTGAGAAGGTAGTTAGAGCAGCATCCTCAGAATTAAGACTCTAAAATATTGTCTTATGGCCTTTTGGGTTCAAATGTTTTAAGCGCTGAGAAGGACAATCAGTGAAGTAAATGCAGATGGTTAGGTGCGGGTAGAGAGTGCGAGTATGAGTGTGCGTAGAGCACAAGTACAGGTGTGTGAAGAGGGCGTGAGTAGGAATGTGCGTAGAGCACAGGTAGAGGTGCGCGAAGAGAGTGCGGGTAGGAATGTGCCTAGAGCACGGGTACAGTGCGGGACAGGGTGCGGGTAGAAGTGTGCGTAGAGCACGGGTACATGTGCACGAAGAAAGCGCGGGTAGGAATGTGTAGAGCACGGGTACAAGTGTGCAGCAAGGCGCGGGAAGAAGTGTGCGTAGAGCATGGGTACAAGTGTTCGGCAGGGCGCGGGTAGAAGTGTGCGTAAAGTACAGGTGCAAGTGCGCGAAGAGAGCGATAGGAATGTGTGTAGAGCACGGGTACAAGTGTGCAGCAGGGCGCGGGTAGAAGTGTGCGTAGAGCACGAGTACAAGTGCGCAGCAGGGCGTGGGTAGAAGTGTGCGTAGAGCACGGGTATAAGCAGAGAGGGTAGATAGGTGTGCAGCAGAGAGGAAGCTAGGTGCCCTAGGCGCGGGTTAGTGACCTCAGGCGGGAAAGAATGAGAGTGGATGGGGAGGAGAGAGAAAGAAAGAGGAGAGAGAGTAGACTTAGGGCGCATATGTGCCTAGGTACACCTCCATGAGTCCTCGTGAATGCACATGAGAGAGAGGGCTAGGGTTTGGGTGTAGTGTGGTGTATGGGATGGGTTAGAGTAGAGTAGGGAATGGGCAGTGGTGTATGGTAGTCTAGGGGTATTTCTCTCTCTAGCAAATGTTTCTCTCTCCTCTCCCTTTGGTCTTGAACTTATGAGCAAAGTAAAGAGAGCAAAAAGATATTCACTCCAAAATGCTCACATATTATTATGATCAAGCCTTCAAACACTAAAAATTTCAAGACCCTATTACAAGGGACATGGGTTTCCTTATATAGAGCAACCAATAAACAGGGATAGAATGCTCAAAAGTACCCCAAATTGTCAAAAAATACACAATTACTGAATTAAAATATTCATCCCGTATTTGTACCAATGACCAAAATACCCCTTAGTACTTTTCAGCAAATGACAAAACCATCCCTCCATGAAGGGCCTCTTGCCATGGCTAGTCTTCGGGAGTTTTTTCGGACACCTATGATGGTAATTCGGGCGATCAATCGTCGTAATTGATGCTTGCACTTTTGTGAATGTTTTGATACCCTTCGATCGTCTTGAAACGAATTTTTCATGAAGAACCCAAAATCCGGCCAAGTCCATAAACTTTGCTAATCTTTAACCATCAATGTTGTTTGATTTGTGATGTTCCAAGTCTTCATTTTGGTCACAAATTGGAGAGGACACTGTCACAATCATTTTGCAGTAATTTTGGTCCGTTTTGGTCTGAAATTGAGCATTTTCCAAATTCGGGAGATTGCCGGAAAATGGTTTTCCGGCAACCGGAAAAACATGCCTTTCTTCAATCTTAAAATGTGTATCATTCGACTTCCAATTATGCATAAGATTTGTACCAAAATGTAGTTCTTCGACGCACGGTCGCAACAGACATGTATTTGCAATGATCCATCACCGAAATCTTGAGCTATGGTCTTCCAAAGAATTGGATGTTTTCTTATGAATTTCCATGTTTCTGAGCACATCTTCTCTCTAGAAATTCTCTCACTTCAGGTCACGCCAAGATGCTTGCCTTATATCAAAATGATGGAGTCTTCAAGATCTAGCTTGTGTCCAAATTTGAGCTTAATCGGACTGAAAACGAGCAAGATATGATTATTTGAAAATCCTCTCGAAATAAGAAGGCACAATTTTCATAAATGGAAACTGCTTCGTTGAGGCTGCACCGCAATAGTGTAAAACCAACATTTTTATGATAAGATAGGCCCAAAATGGTCCCGAAGGGTCCGATTGAGTCGAAATTTGGTATTTGGGGGTTTTTCGATGTTCTGGATTCAATGGCGGTGATCTGATAATGTTTTGAGACTCAGAAAATAGGGCTGTAGTTGTCGGGTCCACTTGCAGCATGATAGGAGCTGGTTTTGAAAACCAAGTGTCGTTCTGATCATATCAAAACTTATCAGAATCTGACGAAACTTTGCAAGTGTCCTCCGGGTATCCCAAACTACCCTTTTCATGCATTTTGAAGCCGTTCCGATACTTCTTTAGAGGTTGCCCAATTTTAGGCTTATTTTTGCAGTGTTCCCATGGTCTGGTGGCGTCTTGGGTACCGGCAGGACCTGGTTGCTACTAGCTCTCATCTTATTCTCTTCAAGGATACAATTACGTCAAAACTGACGTATAACAGCTAGTCATATATTTATGGATTTGTTAGAGACGATTCTTGCTTCCATTTTCATATC